AATAAAGCAGCCAACATTATAATGTTTATGTACATAAAAAGAATATTACCCATCAAAATATTAATGTGACGTCTTCTTTCCAAATGACAGTTTGCTTTCTCTAGGCAACAATAAGAGTGCTCCTATTTTACATCTGACAGCCACATAGTTTTCTAGGCTGAACATCAGCAAAGTGCCGTTGAGGGCTACGTACAGCTCCAGTATGAATTTCTGTCAAAAACTCTACTGTACCTGTGATATTCCTTGCTATTCACCTTTCTCAAATGCCTTTAAGAACTTCCATCAAGACCAACAACAGAAGTTTTGGTAAGTCTTTTGATCTAATAAGCTTAATTAGTCACTGAAGTAGATCCACCTGGGAAAATGTGCATAATCATGAAAAGTACAAAAGATAGAAACTTCTTGCAGGAATTGTGATGTACTGTTCTTTCAAACTCATTTGCTAAACTGGTGTTACTTTCTTTACATAGTAACAGTATCACTCTGATGTGTTCTGCTCCTAGTATACATCCAGCAAAAGCACTTTAATTAACTGCATGAAAGATGCATGAATGCAATTCACACAATTTCATTGCATGAAAGATGTCTTTGCCTATGTTTCAGCACAGAAATTACAGAAGAGGACCTAGTGAAACTCCACTAACTAATAATTCAGCAACGTATACTGGTGTTTATAGGTATTGCCAGGCATACGCTTACAGAATCAGGCTCTGAGGTGGCCAAAACCGTATTCAGTCCTGAGCATGCTTATCCTCTCCTAAGACAGGCATGTGATGAGATTGGCTCTGTACCCAGAGGGATGTCTGCTGGAAAAGCCTCCTCTTTATTGTCTATCAAATTAGCGACTCATTTCTAAAGTGCAGACACTTTTGAAATAGGGAGGTTTGAGTAATCACTTAAAGCTATGATTTCACAGACTGCTGAGATCTCCTAAGGGCTTCCTGCTACTGAAGGAGAAAGTCTCTTTTCCTTTGTCCTGCCTCCTTGACTCCAAACTCTGCCACTTTGGTCCCTGCTCCTAGCTAGTGTTCTCCATCCCTTAAACTGGCTCTGATGCTCAAAGAAAAATCTTGTGTGAGCTGACTTAACTCATTAACCCAGCAGAAAACCATCTCATTCTTTTTGCTGGGTTTGTTTCCCATCAGATTAGTGTATTAAACCAGGTCACGGCAGATACTGAACATCAGAGGGATATGAGCGGAAAGAATACACAGCAAGGAATGTGGCAGGAGGAGACAAGGGAGGACAGAAAGCGTCTGTTAAATGGCTCATCACATCATATGAAAAGTCTGTCGGGATGAGGAATATGCTAATCCATTATTTAGTACACACCCTGAAGTAATTAAGCTTTAACAAATGTTCTTTGTGTGGGTTCTGTATGGCTCTTCTCAAGTGTTTCTAGGAAGGCATCCCTGCCCTTCGTTGTTCTTGGTGTTTCTTTTATGTATATTACCAAGCAAGTCTACCAGGTTTAAAGACTAAACTAAATGGACAAGAAACAAGGCGTTCTGTGTTTGTCTGGAGTTTGGCCATCTAAAGCAGTGTTACACCCCTCCAATTCTTTTTCTGAGTTTGAAAGTCCCCTGAAATCACAATTATCCAACAGGGTTCCACAGCTCCCATGTCATCTGGATAAATCTCATTATAGGGCCTTTAATCCTGATCCCTGGGATGAATACCATGCACAGATGTTCTGCAATAAGCAGTTATGAATGACAGTTATGTGGCAGCCTGCTCAATCTACAGTTTAGTCACAGACATCAGGTGAACCCGCCTGCCTTGCTTCTATGTACCATTTATAGACCACAAGGAAATGGCGCTTACGGATGTCAGAAAAAACAGGAATCAATCCCACTGACTGGCATGGTGAGTGTTTTGACACAAACAAGGTTATTTTTAGCAAATGAAGTGGAAAGTCTCACAGTTTTAAGCAAATTTTTTCTCAAGTTGCCACTCCTTACAGCTGCTAGCCCCAAGTCACACCCCCATGCACAGGCATACTGCCAGCCAGATGAGCGGAGATGGGGCAAGAAAGCATGAAGGGCTGAGAAGTACTAGAAGTCCCAAGATACTTGGTGTTAACCAGAAAATGCTGCTAACTTCAGAGTGCATTTACCATTTTCATTCTAAAGTTTTCATGAATAATTTTTTTTAAAATCCAGCACTGGGAAATGTGCCCATGTGAATTTATCATTCACATATGAATAAACTCAATCCCAAAGGTAGCGTTATAAGAACAAACACGACAGACAGTACATTACGGAAAAAATATCTCAAAACTCATCCCTCCTCTGCGTACTTTCACCAACTCTCTGCTACCAGTCCTTGTACCGTGCAAAAGAAACTTTTCATCCAACCCACTATGGCTGACCTTCTGTAACTAATACAGCCCTGGAAATACCATGGCATTAGTGGTGGAAATTCCTGCTTGGTTCTTTAGCACTGAACAGACCAGGGGAAGAAATTTCAAGCTGTGGATAAACATACAAAGTCAACACCACCCTCACAGCCCTTCCATCAGAAATTACTACCCACCAGGTGGGCTGAGTGAGTAGAAAGTCTGTCTGGACTTCACCTTCCTTAAGTACAAAACCCTATAGCTTTGCTTGAACTCTGGATGACAGTAGGACTAAGTGGAACTGTTGGAGTTTGCACAAACATGTGTTCTCCGTATAACTCCTCCAGGGATAAATGCCTCCAGGGAGGGGAAGAGCACATAAAAGGAACCATGGCAGCTTCCCTCACCACAAGTGCTCCTCTGACTCACCAGAGCTTATCTGACTACATCATTTTTTCAAGCTATCATGTCTGAAACTAGATCTAAAGCTCCAAATCACACAATTTGTCAACCAGCCCAGTCATCTGAAATGCCTATCTGTATGTTTTGCAAAGTGTTACAGGGGTCACTTCAGTTTTACATGCTCTTAGTACAGTTTTGGTAATAGTTTCCCCTTTTACTGTTGTTTGTTTACTGTATTTATGTCACAAACAGGAAGCAACAATTTACAGGAACTATTATTGTTGGCTAAAATTCATCCACAAGCTTTCTAAAAGTAATACACTCAGAAAAGTTTGTTTTGCTTATCTACAGGAAACATCTTTAGTAATATTATGGTAATCACAGGCACCAAAGAAATAAACACAAGTAAATGAGGACAAATAATCCCATGTTTCAACCCAGTCGTTTGAGCAAAACAAGGAAATCCAGGTTTCAGGAAAATAAAATGTCTCATTGCTCTCCAGTGAAAGCACTTTGTTAAATCTGGGGCTACATTTGCCTGTGAGATTAGAAGTAGGCAACGGGGTAGTCTGATGCTGACAGCATTTAGCACCAGCGTGATGACTTGCCTGCGTGCGTGAGAGGAGAACACAACTCCTAAACACTCTGAACTGGGTATCTGAAAGTATGGCTGACACCAGTGTACATGGGCATGCTATTTCTTGTGCTTAAAGCTGATGCCCTCCTCCTCCTCCTCACCCTGACCCTAGGTCTGCTTACTCGGTGGTACTGCAGAACCTGACAGGTTGAAAGCCACATTCTTTTGGAACAAAAACACCACCTTCAGGACAATCTGGGTTAAGCTACAGGGAAAATGAATACTATTGCTCTGCACTGTTCATTTGGACTGTATCTCTACAGACTATTGGTTTGTTAATTACTATTCTGACTGACTTAATTCTAAGGTTCTTCAAAACAGAGCCTGTTAAACTCTAGTGATTCTTTCCCAGTGGCATTCAGGACAGCGCTGTAAACAGACAAGAAAAAGTCACAGCATACCTTAGTACCTAGTTTCAGCTGGTGGGCAACAAGATCACAGGAGTCTGGGCTGTCAGTAGTTTGGCTGCTGTGAAAGACAAGCATTGTTTTGTTTAATTTCCAAATATGGTGATTGCAGACAGTACTTTGCAGCATTTATTCCAACCATTAGCGGGTGTTTTCTGTAGTAACCCTAGCTGTAGGGAGTTAAATGTGTTTTCCACATGCCTGTCTTCCAGTTCCACATTTTAATTTTACAGACCTACAGCTAACCTGAAAAAAGTGGGCATCAGCATCTGAGAGAAAGCTTGATTTATTGAAAGAGATGTGATCTATTCGGATGGCATCTCCTGCTTCTACCTAGGTTTTTTATAGTTCTGCTTCACACACCCTTCCTCTCCCCTCCTAAATCCTCTCACAGAACATCATCCTCTTTGTTCCCAGCGAGCCTTCTCCTAGTTCTCTGATGATACATTAAGACTTTGTGTCTCTTTTTATTTCCTTGCGGTTCTGTACCAGTTGTGAATCTCAGCTCTTGGTTTCTATACTCTGGGCACCTGAAGTTTGATGAGATAGATCCAACCTATTAATGTTTCCCCGAAAAAGAAATGTACAAAAGTTTTATTCCCTAATAAATGACCATAGGGCTATAGCTGTTCACATGTAAATGCCCACCTCTCACAAACCACCTGCACAACTGATCTTGGAGTCCCTCAGTCTGCACTGGCACAGGAGAAGCTGATCATGTTTAATATGTGTATCATTTGGTCAGCATACAGATCCTTGCACAGCGTACAGATTCTTGCACTGCTACCAATTACCCTGAACTTAACCCTTTTGGCTAAATGGAATCAGACTAGCATCTTCCATGCTTAATAAAATTAGGTTTACACAAAACCAAAACAATATACCTTATATTGTGGCTAGATTGCTCTGCAAAATGTAAGGCTGAAAAAAAGCATATTGATTTAAGTGATGGAATAGACCAAAGCTCTGTACCAATGCAGTTTCATTTCTCCTCAGGAAGGCTCCCTGGGATAGATACAGAGCTCTACTTCCAATGAACTGGCTATTAAGGTTTGGATATAAGATCTGTCTGCAATCCTTTATGGAGTGTTAAATTAAGGAGTGTGACTATTAAAAGTCTAACTTTAGTAACATTTCCAACATTTACTCTGGCACTTTTTATGAGGTGTAGAGAACATATAATAAACTGTGGCATATCTGAATAGTTCTAAGTTACCTGGAATCCCAGTCTGACACATCAGAATTCAGGACATTGGAGTTCACCCTGGCTTGCTGTTTCACGGCTTTCTCGTGTTCCTTAAGGCACAGATAATAATCAGAAACACCACAAATTTAGTTTACTGCTTAAAGAAAACCATTATCAAATTCATTATTGCTATAACGCTATAGCGTATTATGTTTTGTCACAGTAGGATGAACTGAGGCAAGAGAAAAGGCCTAGGGGGGACTTTCCTTACCTCCTTGTTATGAACACAGTAGTTCAAGAGAGCATCACAGAAATGCTGTCCTATTGACTCCAAGTCTTTCATATCGAAATGGGTGCTTTGTCTGCAGCCTGCAGCATCAATAGGAGCAAGACAGAAATGAAAATGTCAGTCATCCTGCTGACTGCTCAGTATCTGTGATATTTCAGGATGGTGGCTGCCTGCAAACTCACATATCTTTCACTGACAGATGCTAGACAGGTCTATGACTGCCGGAGTTTTGTATAGATGATAGTACATATCATTATTCTGGCTATATGAACAAATCTATCCACTCAGAGGGGGTTAACTATAATGCATAGTTAACTGATTCCCTATTACAAAATTTCCTAAAAATACAACTGGCTTTAGTTACTGCTTTTAATTTGCCATCCACTAATGTTGTTCTTTCATGATAAATATGCAATAACACTAGCAGTGGCCTGAAAGATTGCCAGGTGAATGCCCTAGTTTTAGTGTTTTTTCCAATTCTTATCTTAAATCATCATTCATTTCTATCCAGTAAGACAGAACACCAACAAGGAGATGGTAGCTCAAGCTCAAGCTACCATCTTCCATGAAAAACCAAACGTAAAGGTCTTGTTTGAGGATACCTCCTAAATAGCTACAGGGAATTGTCTCACCCAACTTAGAGCCACAGATAGAGGCTTCCAAAGTGTAGCTGTTGTTGATGCCCAGCTTCCACATTACCACTCGACCTGTGCCTTCTTTGCTCTTTTGTACTCTGAAACGGCAGTCTGGGAATGAGAACTTAAAAGACAGGCACAGCATTAGCCTTTGAAATAAACAGGAAGATGCAATAATTTCATTTTAACCCTGCAAGTTTTTTTAAATCTTATCTACCACATAAACAATTGTGAGTTTTCACTCTACTTGAATATTGCACAACACAGCTCAGAGTATACTGTTATTACTGGTATAATGGAGATATAGGTGAAATAACAGCCCTTTGATTAAAAGTTTATTTTACTTTAAGGATTTCTGAGACGTCTGCAGATAATTTTTTATGTGGCTGTAGTTATTGTTTCTAAACAAACCTATATAGACAGCTGATGAGCTGAGTTACCACAAATCCTGTTATATACCAACATGCATATTTACTAAAAAGTTGGAATAGCTCTTCTCTCATGAGTTAATAGACCAACAGTTTGGTGCAACCAATCTGGAGCTCACAACCACCTCATTATTACAACAGCATTAGCTGCAAGTATGCAATGACATCTGGTAGGTTAGTTTGTGTGGTTTTTTTGTTCCTGAGCCTTTGCAACCTTTTCTGGTTCGAAAGAAGCTTACTGTGGTCAGATTTTGGTGGAAAATGACATATTTTAAAAGCCATCATTTCCTACTAAACTTTTTTTTTCCTAATTGAAATATCTTACACAAACATGGTAATTTTGACTAAATTTTCCACAGACTTTTTCAAAAGAAATTTTTCTGAAGAAACATTTTTCTTCTTTAGTTTCTTATTTGCTTACTTGTTTGCTTTTAATTCCACCATATATTTTAAAGCTGCAGTTAATATATGTATATACAATATTAAATGTTAGTTTTTGACATTGTTAAAACAATGTTACTTTGATATCCCATTTTTTTTTTAATTTTTTAAAAAAATCTTTAAAAAATGCTAACTTTATGTCCCAATTCAGCATGATATGTTTTAGAGCGCTGGGATTTCAAAGGAGTTAAAAATTCATATTCCTACCATTTCTAGTTTTAGCCAATTGAAGATTATTTTACTGGGTGAAGTGCAGTCTTTTAGCAAATGTGATACTTTAACAAAAAATGAGGGATCCCAGATGGTGCTTGAATTTTTAGGTGAGTAAGTTTCTAGCCAGACATTTGCTTACCTTATCTGGGCAGCTCTTGCTCAGCAAGAGTGGGAAGACATGTGGATGCACATATGGTGCTTTTGCTTGCTGCTTTCTCTCACAACCATACATGAAGACATTTTGTTTCCTGTTGTGACCATGGATGTCACAATACAGAAAAACATCACGTTCCCCCATCACTCTGTAATACGGGATGACATAGAACACTTTATTAAAAGTGTTTTTTTTTCCTCCACCTCAGAAATAAGCCTGAGCCAATATGTTACACCGAAGCTCATGTGTAACCTAAAGAGGAAGAAATCAATACAAGTTTCATACTCTGAGCTCGAAGTTAAACTTTTAGTGTGCTAGATTAGAGCCAAACTGCTCAGTTCCCTCCAGAATAAAACACTTGTCACTGCACAGAAATAAGATATGAGTGTATGCATCATCAGCCTTTGTCCATGTGTTTGTTCGCTCAGGCTCAGTTATATATGTCCAGCTCTGTAGACATGTACAACAGCACATTGTACAGCTGAAACCCCCCATTCTTATCTGCTGCTCTTTCACTATTGTACATGTGTTGAATAATACATGCTGTACAATTATAAGACTCAAGCATAAATGGCAGTGAATACTCCTTCCTTTATCAAACTGGAGACATCAATGTTTATGATGTGCCAAGATTCTGCAATGTATTATTGCTTAACTAACTTTTTAAAGAAACCTTGCAGGTAGACACATTGGGGTTTAGCAACCCACAATGCCAATGCCCAGTTCATGTCAAAGTGGAGCTCTGCAGGGAAGATGTGATGGCACCACAGCTTGTCACCTGGGGCTTTACTCTGGGCAGGAGTTGGAAATCCATGGTGGAACTAAGAAGGAAGCAGTAATAAACTCAGCTGACAGTAGCTGACTATGAGGCTGAAGGTCAGTAGCACTTCAGCAAACATAATTAATATTAATTACAGGGCACTCACAAGTGCAGTCTGTCTCCATATAGTAAGACAGAGAGAGGAATTCTCATGGAAAAGAAGGAGAGGTGCAGTGCTCATCCCTTCTAAGCTAGGGATCTAGATGTCAAAACATTAATTTAAACCAGGCTGTAACTAGATGAAAAACACTAAATGTACTAATTCTGACACTGGCTTTTTGCACAAGAGTCTTGTTTGTATTAATTTGTTACAGAAGTTAAACCAGAGTGATTTAGTTTACTACCTGCAAATTTAGTTTACTACCCGAAGGTTTAGTTTTATATCCAGAGTATCAATGTCTGGGACTGAAAGTCTGCATAAGAAATCAAACATATTTGTAGCAAAACATACAGCAAACTTGTCAATCTTTGCTGTCAAATGGACATCTGGGATCTATTCTGAACCTAACTTCATTTTGGGATGTGGTGGTATGCCAGAAAAGAAGAAAATGAGAGAAAAATAAGGTATTGGATAAGTAGATTTTGGCATAGGATAGTGGGGAGAAATATGCTGAAAATGTTTTGACGAAAACTCTTTTACTTCAGAGGTGTAACTTATTACCAGGAATGGAGAAAGGATATTAAAGGAAAACCTGCACAATACTGAAGAAAAAAAATAACCCACTCTAAAATGCAACTTGAACGTAAACAAAACAGTCAGAAAGGCTTGGGTACAGGGCAAAGATGTAAACAATACCAAAACAACAAGGGACAGAGAAGTCACACTAAGAGACAGTGGAAAGGAAAATCATCTATTCTAAAGGAAAAGAAAATGAGGTTACCTTTTGATCATGTTTCGGGTATACCAGATGGAAGGATAACATTTCTTCATGTTAGATCTGTATTTGCGGTTCAAGTCCTGACCTGTTAAAGAACAGCGGTGATTTCCCACAATCACACCATCTGGATTCAACATCGGTACCACTTTGAAGACAAAATTGTCCCGCAGCAGTTGAGCTTTGCCTGAATCGCCAAGAATGTAATCCAGAAAGCCCTTTATTATCCAGGAACTGTTAGTTTCTCCTGGATGCACCCTCGCAGTTAGTATCACAGCCTTCCTCTTGGTGCCCTTGCCACTTTTGGGGGGGTTGGTGATAGTTAAAACATAGACTATGTTTCGTGCCAGTGAATGGCACAAGACGCGAATCTTGCAGAATTTGGACTTCACTGGATCTTTATTGATGGCCACCAGGTACTCCTGCAGGTTGGAGTAGGTGTAAGGATAGCAGTGGGCAAAGTAGCAAGTGTCTTGGTCATGAGGGAACTGGAATGTCCAAGTGAGAGAGAAATACTGACGTCCACCTTGGCCCGTATTGTTTTTGTAATACTTGATTTCATTTCCAGTCCTTCGCCAGCCAACCTTGTGTTTCTTAGCATCGGTTTCTGAATACAACAGTGGCCGTAAGCCACGTTTATACAAGCTGTTACGCTTGGTAAAGTTGACAATAGTGAAGCGATACGGCATCCCTGCCTGTGTATTGCTTACTTGGAAGTAGTACCACTGTGTGTGTCTGCTTGTGTAGAGGTCGGTGCGCAGCGTCAGCTGGTACTCAAATTCATTGCTAGCGGGCAGAAAGAAGACAAATGGTTGTGATGCTGGTTAGCACTGTAGTATGATGCAGTGTCAAATAATGAGGACTGCCATGAAAAAGCACCCCGCAGTGAAGCAGGTGCAAACCTCATTTACACTGTCTTAAATCAACGTCTACACAGCTGCCAGGAAAAGATGTCTAATCACACCAAGTGTGTCAATAATGCAACTGCTGTCTTCATTAGGACTTTTAATAGTAACTAGGACTTCTAAAAACGTTCTCCACACTATGCTGTAAAAGGAGGTGCTTAAGAAAAGGTGTTCTGTTTGTGTGGGTGATTATCACCTATAGAAAATGTTCAGTGCTATGGAATGGCTATCAGACCATTTCCTGCGAAGGTTACCTGAACCTACTTTTGAAGCTTACACAACTCATGTAAAACAAGTTACAAACCCAGAGTAACACATCTTGCTCAGAAACTGATAGCAGGCAGCTGGTAATAACAACTCTGATAATAACTCCACCTTAATAAAAGAAAAAAAAAAAGATTAGAAACTTACACTTTGACCACCTTCTGCAAATTTCCACTCTCAAACCGTGCTTCGAAGATCAGTGTGTTGTCCCCTTTCTGATGGAGGATCTGCTCCAGCGGGCAGACACCTCTCACTTGGGAATACATGAAGCAGGAGTTTTTGTTAGCTAGGGGAAGGAGCAGAACAGATTTCTTTCATTTCAGCTTGAGCCATTTTGGGGAATACCTGCATCCTTCTGAAAATTCCTTCTAGAAACAGACAACTGCATGGAGCTGAACTTCAAAGTGTAAAGAAATTATACAAAGATTTTGCTGCCCATTCCCACTTAACCTTACGGATTTCAGCCAGCCTAAGATCTGACTCTGTCTTGGAGGTGCCTGTGTCTCTTTGCACGAGCAAAGGGCAATTCATACTCTGTACTTAGGCAAAACAACTGAGTTCAGTGGAAAGACTCTAGGACTCAGCTCCGCCAGGTCTTTTCACCAGTCAAATGGGCGACTTCTCTACTTAGAAATAATACGTAGCTGACAACTCTGGCCATCAGTTTGTTTTTAAATCTCTGTATTCAATTATTCCAGTCTAGAAGTAAAAAAGAGGATGCCTAGACCCAGCAACAATCACTTCTGTATTGCAAGTGATGTTTTCACATCACATTTAGCATGCAGTTTGAGCCCACATCTCCTTTTGCTCTCTTCTGCTACTTTTTCCTCAGATGAGAGGCTCTCAGAGGCATAACTGAACTTTTTACTACAATCTTCATTACCATAGGTCATTAAAGACCAGAATTTCTAGATTTGCCATCAGCAAGAATTTACTTTTTTGGTTGGGAAGTTGTTTCGGTTCCAGAATATTCTTGGCATAATTTTAACAGTCAAGCATCCTCCCTTTACAGAATCGAGGCAAGAATTATTTTTAACATTTATTTGCTTTCTCTGTATTGACGTCAACATGGTGGCAAAGGTGTGGAAACCCGGGGATATCAAAACTTCCTCTCATCTCCAAACCGTACCCACAAAATAGAGAGAGAGAAGATGTGTTTCTTCTGCCAAAAGCCAGGAGCCCAGAGACCCTGCTGCAGAGTCAGGATAGCTGTGCTGGCGACTCTGGCTGACCTCAGCAGCACGAGCTGTGCTCTGATGCTTGGGTTAGGGCCAGCTCAGGGAAAAGGAGGACAGGTGAAAACTGCAGGTATTCCAGGCTGAAACTACCTTCTGTGAGACTGTGGGTTCCACACTGCCAATATCAAACTGGCTGTCTTATCTGCCAGAAGTGAAATTCCCCACTACATAACTTCCTAATTAGCAAAATGAAGGACTGACTTACACTGGTGGCCAGGCACCGATCACTAAGCTGTTGTATTCCCAGCTCCTGTATTCTTGCTTCTATCTCCTCATTGCTGGATCCTCCTGAGAAGAAACTGCCTCCTTACCATGCTGCCAATTAGGGGGACTGACCCTGTACCACACAGCAGGGTTAGAACTGCACAGCAGCCCCAGTTCAGATGAGAGTCATGTCTGCCCTTGCTTGACTGGGGCTGTGCTAAAGATTTATCGTGCAGCAGTCTGTCTTATTCTCTCCTGTAGCGTTATTAAAGCTCTGACAGTACTACTCAGGGAAGTTATGTAAAGCCAAGATTCCCATAAGTCATTTTTTCATTCCTTGAATCACTGCTGCCATACGCAAAAGGTGCCATATTCAGGGGGGTTGGGCTAGATGATCTCTCAAGGTCCCTTCCAACCCAAAGCATTCTATGATTCTATGATTGAAGTTACTACAGAGCCACAGGGGTTTTCATTAGAGAAGGGCTGTTAGCTTTGCTGGCTGGGATACCCACTTGAATAATTATTTTCTGTTTAGCTGAAATTCCATTCACAGTTTTTCTACCCTTCCCTTCCTCTTCATGCTCTTCCTTAACATTAAGGAAGAATAATGTGTCAGTACTTAATCCAGTAAAACTGTTTCTGGAAACATCTGTATCAGTCAAATGCTATAGAATGAAAAGCATGAATAAAATCTGAGATCTCTATCATGGTATTTTGATATTTCTGCATGGGAGTCGCCATTGGATTGTATTTTTCTCTCCCAAATCAGATTTTAGGAGGGCCTGTAGGAACTCAGCAGCAGGTAGTTCCCAGACAGGCAGTAACTCCCAGCTCCTGCAGAATTCAAATGCAGTGGGAATCAGGAGTGTGCCGCTGCTGTCTCCCACAGGACGCAATGGCTCATTACATGCCAGTCAAAGTCTGTGGCGCTCAGGTCATAAATCTGCATAAGTGCAGATGCCTGTCCTACCCTACAGAGCTTCTCTGCAGGAGGATTTTAGGGTTTCAAAAACTATATTTTCTATAGTTATATA